TGTTTGCACGTATGCTGAATGATTAGTAGTCTATCATGAAGATTTATACCTAGCTCTGCCACTTCTGGTCCAAATGACATGGGTTTTTTTGCAGTATGCACTCCTTCATTGTAGGATCATTCTGAAATGTAGATAAATGTAGGTAAATACAAATAAATAGTCTGAAATGACATGTGTACTCTCAGATTGGTTTCTGTATACTGAACTTGAATCCAGATGATATCACATGGTTAAAAACAAATGCAAACAGACCTACTGTGCAGGAGGTAAAGTTGTTTGCACATGTTGAATGATTAGTAATCTGTCTTGAAGATTTCTACCTAGCTCTGCCACTTCTGGTCCAAATGACATGGTTTTTTTTGCAGTCTGCACTTCTTAATTGTAGGTTCATTCTGAAATGAGGCTAAATGTAGGTAAATACAAATAAATAGTCTAAAATGACATATGTACTCTCAGGAAATGTTGGTTTCTGTATACCGAACTTCAACCCACATGTTATCACATGGTCAAAAACAAATGCAAACAAATTTACCATGCAGGAGGTAAAGTTGTTTGCACATGCTGAATGATTACTAATCTATCTTGAAGATTTCTACCTAGCTCTGCCACTTCTGGTCCAAATGATATAGTCTTTTTTGCAGTATGCACTTCTTAATTATAGGTTCATTCTGAAATGAGGCTAAATGTAGGTAAATACAAATAAATAGTCTAAAATGACATGTGTACTCTCAGGAAACTTTGGTTTCTGTATACCGAACTTCAACCCACATGTTATCACATAGTCAAAAACAAATGCAAACAAATTTACCATGCAGGATGTAAAGTTGTTTGCACATACTGAATAATTAGTAAATTAGTCCCTACCTAGCTCTGCCACTTCTGGTCCAAATGACATGGTTTTTCTTGCAGTATGCACTCTTTGATTGTAGGATCATCATTAAATAATGTGTTCAGGGTTTAAAGTAGATATCCAAATATGGTAAGCTAATAAAAATAGTCATAACATGGCAGAGAAATCAGAGAAAATTGAGGATGGTGCTGATTAATAGTGATGATGTCAAGTTTAAATAGACTTCCAAATAAGAAATATTGCTCATTGATGGTGATGATACTGAGGTACTCTGCTTGAAGCCCAGAGTGACACTCAAATAGAAAGATATACTAGTTTGTAAAAAATATAGCTACAAATCCAGAAAAAAAGCGAAAAGAAAGCAGAAATGGGTTACTACCTCTCTTGCAAAATAGGACTCATTCCTGCCATGCTTGCAATGGCCTCTTACACAAGTCCATTTTCTGTTTTGGGGAGCAAGTACCTTAGGTCAGTCAAGTTTCCATTGTTTCTTATGATCTAGGGCTCGTTTAAAACATATTCTAGTGTTGTTTGAAGGTCCCGAAGAGACAAGAGGTATGCGTGTCCGCGTTCTGGAGATATCTTCCATTTTCTATTTTGGGGAGCAAGTACCTTAGGTCAGTCAAATTTCCATCATTTCTTATGATCTAGGGCTCGTTTAAAACATATTCTAGTGTTGTTTGAAGGTCCCGAAGAGATGAGAGGTTTGCATGTCCGCGTTCTGGAGATATGTTACATTTTCTGTTTTGGGGAGTGAGTACCCTAGGTCAGTCAAATTTCCATCATTTCTTATGATCTAGGGCTCGTTTAAAATGTATTCTAGTGTCGTTTGAAGGTCCCGAAGAGATGAGAGGTTTGCGTGTCCACGTTCCGGAGATATGTTACATTTTCTCTTTTGGGGGGAGTTGAGCTGTATCTCAGTCAGCTTTCCACCATTTTTCTTCACTGAAGGCTCGTTTACATTGTATTCTAGTTGTATTTGAAGGAGCTGAAGAGATGACATCCATACATGATCCTATTTCTATGCTATCTCACATCCTCCCCTATTTTTTTGCGAATTTTTATTTATTTTCATAATCATTTGGTTTCTATTATAGTTCTATGCTCAAAATATACATTACACTGTGTATCTATCAGGTAGACAGCATCTAATTTACCCAGATTTATAGTCACATCACTTTGAGAATTATGTGCCAGCTTGAGCCAGCTTTGGGTCAGCTAAAAGCTGAGCCAAGCCACTTAAGGAAATTTAGCTGGCTTACATAAGCCGGCTCTCAGCTACCCGAGCCGTGGCAACACTAATGTGTGGAAGCTGCAAGCCTTTGCCAACTTCATTGATTGCTTGGAAATTGGACTGAACAGCAGCTAAACTTGGCAAGGCTCTTTTCAAGTATACTCAGCATGTATATGTCATGTTCTGAAAGAATACATCTCCTTGATGAGAAGCAGGCCCCATTCTGCTGCAACAAACAGCAATCACACAATTATGTCAGTATATTTCATCCAATTTTTATAAATTTTACATGGATCCCTTTGCATTGAAGAGGAGATTTGAATGAGTCATAGAACCTTCTGAATGGACATGATTTGCATGTGCTATGGCTTGCACAGCAATTTCATAGCAAATGTGGCAGATTTTGAAACAATTGATGGTGCATCAGAGTATGTACTCCAGTTGCGATCAAATCTATCTGTATTATCCATATGCAAACCAAATAATGGATCCTGAACTGACTCCTATTTACTGTACACACTTCAGAACAAGCAAAAAAATGAGATAAAACACTTTTAATAGACTGAAGACTAATCATTCATGATCTAAGGAATGTTTGAGGCTGATGGATAGTATTTGAGAAGTGATAAGATAAAGTGGGTCTGCAGTGAGATGTGGAGTTCAAGGCTGCTAGGGTGCTGAAAAACATAGTCTTCCATTTTTGATCTCATTTTTGAAAATTTCAAGGAGGGTGGGTTCACAGTAGCCATTTTTCACTTCATTTTTGATGTTCTACACTAACTGATCAAAAGTAATGTCACATGATTTTTTGGACAAAGTTGGTGCTATAACACAAGAACCAGACATTTTAAGAACTAAACTCTGGTGCATGAAACATAGCTAAATAGGTGTAGATTGTATATACCAAGTCTGGGGATGAACAAATAAAAACTCAGGATAGGGCAGGGCATTGACTGTGACAACTCCCAAAAATGGGATGTGACAAAGTGGGAAATTCTGAATGACTGCAACCTACTGGAAGCAATTCACAACTTGAGGAAGAGATATTTTGAACACTGGATCGCCCTGCTATTGCTATGAGCTTCATAAAGACTTTGGGCTAGAAAATTCTATATCCTCCCCTAAAATGTAAATCTGTACTTGTTGTCAATTTATGTATTTTTCACTCAATATATTTGTTGGAATGAGGTAAAATGACTCCCTATTAATGTTTGTAGTGTGTATAATACAAAAGGTAGGTAGAAATGTTAAAATGAACATTGCATAATGTTTGTAGAAGCTAATTTCCAGGGTTTTTCTGGAAGTAAACAAGTATCTACATCATTGGTCCTTCTTTTCTGCAAGAAGAAAAAATGCTACCATCCTTTTGAGTTAATCCATGGAGACTTGGGATGTCTTTTAAACAATGCCTGAAGTATAGCATGATAGCAAATAGATTGTCACTAGGTATAACTTGAAAAGTCCCCAATAAAAGTACATTTTGCATAGAGCAATCATCCTAGACCAATCCTGGACATTT